ATAGGAACTCAACGATACCATATTTGGCCAGCCCGTGTTCTAAGTGACAGAGACAATGTTAAGCGCGAAACCTATGACTTGATTTGTTGTTAATAACATAATTTTCGCCCCTGTTATTTCCCCCTTAAACTCTTATTTGTACTCTATAGTGAACAACCTTCTTAGACATACTTAGCTACCTAAAATTATTATCATTGGCTTACTTTTTTTAATTCTTTATTCTATTCCTTCTTTTGTGTATCAACTGGGTCCGACAATATAATCACTAAGAGTATTACAAAACTGTCCTGTCATTAACCATCATGTAATATTAGTTTTGTGGTTGTTTTTTGTTCGGCAATATTAAACTGACAGTCTTAGTTGTGAACGCCACTATCACCATCTTAAAATTTTGTATTATGCATGATTACTCACACTACCACAACAAACACCGCATTAGTGCTGACAATAAAAATAAAAACCCTGAAATGTTTATATTATGATTGTTTAGTGTAGTTCAATCAAATTAACTGATCATCTTGGCTATAAACATTCTTAAGAACATTTCATAACTTCTTGTATGATTACAGCTGTTACTGTTCACCACGTATACACATATCATAGCTTCCACTACCAAATACTGAAATATTATTCATTATTGGTGTTTATCTTCCTTTCTACTTGGTATTTTTATTTGCATTTTTTTTGTTATTTCTGTGTTTCTTTTTTGGCTTTTTGCTGTGTTTTTTTATTTATTTGTTTTTGTAATACTTCTTTTAAATGTCCGATGAAATTAGATGCAATATTGTAGACATGTGCTGAAAATTCCACACTGTACCACAAGTACTGTTTCTGGAATAAAAGCGAAATTATTATTAATATTATCAATGACAACATGCATGTCAAACATGTACAAGACAGTGACAACACCAACAATAAGGAATCGAAATCATAAGTACTGATTCCATACAATGAAGGAACATCGGTATTAGATGAACTAGATTGTTTTGTTTTATAGGCTCCACTGTTAGGATCCTTCAACCGACAAAGCTTATTTCTAATTGGGTTTTTATGGGTTTGAATGTCACAGGGTAGAGGAAGAGATTGATGGCGGAAACTTTATTTATCGAGTCAATTGTATACACGAGTAGTAGGAATGATTCAACACCTGTCCCAGATTATTGATATAGGTATAAAACTTGGGCACTGTGGTAGAGTATAACTCCATTATAGATTAAATTTTATTTTGATAAATCACACGGTGTTGTACAGTAATATTACTGTACAATCTGTCCCAGATATCTGGAAAATTCTACTAATGCAACTTTTTTTTTAATTTTTTTTAATTTTTTATTTACAGCTTGATTCCACACTGTATTTTTGGTACAAGCATGAAATTTTCAGCATGGATATCGGTAGCCCAAATTTTGCAGGCTGACCATAGATATCAAGTGTGCGTCGGCAGGGATTGAACCTCGGACCATGTGCATGATCGGCGAGCGTCCTAACCACTGTGCCACCCACGCACAAATAGGAGAGAACGAAGAAAACTATAAAACTCAAGCTTCGAAGTTGTGCGATTATAATTGATATGATTATGAACAAGAATGAATTGCGTTGGAAACCTTGTTATCCACTACATAATACTGTCTCTTCACTATGTGATATATCTAATAAACAAAGTAATATGGAATTATTTACTACCACAGTGCCCAAGTAACCTCGCCTAGTTAGCTAACTCGCTAGTTTTCTAGCCGGTCTCAAGCCCGGGTAAATAAGGAGGGTTGTGCGTGGGGCTGGAGCAACTCAACACCGCTAAACCTATCAGATCGCTAGAGGGACTTCAACACACAAAAAATATATTAAAAATACAAAATCTTCAAACAAAAATCTTATTCTTCGCTCGAATCCGAGAGGTGAAATGACGCGGGATGGTGAAAGCCAGACTTCGGGAAGCCAGTCAACCGATGTGTCTTCTCTCGATGAAAGCAAGAGTAAGGATGGCTACGTGGAATTTCCGTACAATGTACGAGAGTCGAAAGGCTGCTCAAGTAGCCAAAGACATGCGTGGATATGGCTAATAAGTACTGGGTATCTGCAAAAGCAGATGGAATGGATGTGAATTGACAACATTGTCAATGGGAGAGTCAGTAATCTACTCCGGTCACTCAGATGACAACCCCGAACACACTGAGGCAGTGAGTGGCTATCGCAATGTCACCAGTGACAGCCAAAGCCCTGACACAGTGGAAACCAATTTCATCTAGGTCGTGACAGCAGAATTCAACTTAAAAGAAGTAAGGAAGGTCACAATTATCCAAAGCTACGAACAATGCTACAAACAACCGGGACAAGAGAAGATGGAAGATTTTTGTACAAAACTACAAACAGTAATGGACAATATCCCAAATGGAGACATCAAAATCCTAATGGACGTTCTGAATGCAAGCCGAACTGGGAGGAGATAATACAGGAAGAGAACTCACCATGGGTCGAGAGGCTCTCGGAGAGATGAATGAAAACGGAGAACTCCGCAGACTTCTGTGTCTTCAGTGATTTAGTGATCAGAGCAGTATGTACAAGCGCAAGGATATACACAACGAAACATGGATTTCACCTGACGGACACATCATGAACCAGATAGATTTCATCTCACTTCTGCTAAGAAGTCGGAGGTGTAGCTAGCTGGATACAAAGTTGAGAAGGGGAGCAGAAGTTGGTTCAGATCATCATTAAGTTCTAGGAACCTTCAAGTGAAGCTGAAATCCTTGAAAAAAAAATGGAGACAGGCACTGTAATTCAAGTTCCACATTCAGAAACTGAGGGACAAATCCACAAAGGATGCCTTCACTACAGATCAGGTCAGAGCAAAGTCGGAGACGCTACGTGTTATCAGCGAAGAGGCCCACGTGGAAGAATATTGGAACTAACTCTCTGAAAGTGATGATCAAGGAAACGTGTACAAATGTCCTAGAAAAAAAGGAAGAAGAGACACGACAAGGAATGTCTCTCAACGGATACATGGGAGCTAACAGCAAAGAGGAAAGGAGGATGGTGAAAGAGAAGATGATTCAGTGCAAAGATGCACAACAGAAGGAAAAGTGGAGTTAAATGTGCACTACAGTGAATGAAGAAGGACGTGAAGAAGAGTTCTAGGAAAGGCAAAAGACAATTCTATGACACACTGGCCAGCAACTGAAGCAGAACAGGCAGGGTGCAGGTAAAAGAGACCTCAGGACATTGTATCAGATAACCAGGTCACTATCTGGGGAATGATCGACCCAGATAATGAAAGTAATGAAAGATGCTCAAGGCAACCTGATACCAAGGAGGAACAACAAATCAAACTATGCGCTGATCCCTTTAAAGGAATTTGAACCGATTACCAGCTGCAACTCACCCAGAAATACCACCATCAGCACACATGGAAATGCCAGTGGACACCACTCCTCCAAAGAAAGAAGAAATCCTGAATGGGATCAAGCTGCTGAAGTCCGGAAGGCAGCTGGACCATAAGAAATTCTTCCTGAAGCACTGAAGAGGCCCCAGAGATTACAGCAGCCGATGTTCTCACTCCATTACTGTAAAATCTTAGGAAAGGTGCCTACTGATTGGAAGAAGGGATACCTCGTCAAACTGCTAAAGAAGGGAGACTTAGGCCTGTACAAGAACTGGCGTAGAATAATGCTCTTGTCCACACCTAGTAAAATACTAAGTCGCATTATTCTGGAGAGAACAAAAGATGCATTGGATACAGAACTCTGTCCACTGGAACAAGCTGGATTCACGAAAGGCAAATCATATGTTCATCAAATTGCAACTCTACACATCGTCATCACAGAACAATACATAGAATGGAAGTCAAACCTCCACCTCAACTTCCTTCATCGACTTCGAAAACGCCTTCGTTAGACAGTTTTGACCGAGAAGTAATTTGTTAACTACTTCAACTCTACTTCGTACCCCAAGTCTTTATCAACCTCATTCAACAGCTGGTTATATGACAATGCCACGTGTCAGGTGATCCACAACGGAAAACTCAGTGAGGCGTCCAAAGTTCATACAGGAGTAAGACAAGCTGGCTGGCTATTATCACCCACGATGATATTCTTAGTTGTGGTGGACTGGATTATGCGTCAGACTGTTGGGGTGAGGAGACAGGAATACACTGGACCACCGATAAGAAGACACTAAAAGATCTGATTTCGCAGATGATATATATGTATAATGTCACACAAATTCGAAGAATAGCAAGCGAAAACTAACAAACTGGCTGAAGAGGCAGCAAAAACAGGACTACAGGTGAACACAGAGAAGACAGAGGTGAAGAAAATGACCAATCATCATCATCATCAACAACAATAACCAGCATCAATCACCGTTAACGAGAAAGACCTGACTGAGGTTGCCTCCTTCACTTATCTAGAAAGCATCGTTTCAACTACACGCGGAATGACGAAGATATCAAAGTCAGAATCGGAAAGGCAAGACAGACGCCTTCATCAACCTAAAACTAGTTTGGAAATCTTCCGCACTCAGCCAGCATAATGAACAAAATTCTCATTTTCAACACAAATGTCAAGTCGGTTCTTCTATACCAGTCAGAAACTTGCACTGTGTATCACGAAAAGGATTTTCATCAGGCTGCAAACTTTCATCAACAGCTGACTTCGCTGGCTGAAAACTTAAGATCAAATGGCAAGCCAGAAAGAATAGGCAATAAACAACGAGAAAGTGGAAACGGATTGGGTGTATGCTGAAGAGACCATCGAATGACATCGCGAGTCAAGCAGTGCCTTGACTGGAATACGAATGAGTAGCAACGATTAGGTCATCCTAGGGTGACATGAAGGAGATCGTGTGAGAGGAAGGGATGAGAGAGTTTGGTCAATTATGGACCCGAATGAAGAGGACGTCAGGTAACAGAACAAATTGGAGATGTGTTGTTGAAGCCTTATGTATCACTCGAAACGCAAGGAATAATAAGTTTTACATATATATGTATATATATTAATAGCGTTGATAATTTAATCAAAGTTAATAAATAATGATGAAATTCTCTGATTGGTTGAATTTATATAGGTCACGTGATAACTAAAAATCGAAACATTAAATAAAAAAATTGATTGGTGGATAGACAGACAGGTAGCTTACTTCACTAGATTACACATACAGTTTTGATAATAATAATTATAATAATATTACAATGAAAAGAATTGATAAACGATGTTATCATGAAACAACACGTATTACAATCAGAAGATTATTTATATACTACTATTGCCAATATAATAACAGTAATAATAATATTAATATTAATAACAGTAGCCGTAGTAGTAGTAGTAATAATAGTAGAGAAGACGAATGTAAAAAAAAGTGCCCAAGAAGTAGGTAAAATTGAGCATTATTACTATTACAATCTCTTTTCGAAATCCCCTTGTCATATTTGTACCAGTCAAAATGATGTTTACAAAAAATCTACACCAAAGTATACCCCGCTTACTGTCAATATTTTGTCCAATGATGATCGAATAAATTCAGTCAGTTGTCAGTTGAGTGAATCACATCCAAATATGAATAAACAATTTCAAGGTAAACACCAATATCAGTTAAACTTTCAAATAACCACTAATAATAATAATAATAATAATAATACGGGTAAATTAGATTCCCTACCATCTTCAGATTTAGTCAGTGTAACTGATCAACAATTTAATGATTCCGTTTTATCCTTATCACCATCGCCTAAATTCTCTGATATGATAAACTCGGGTGATAATAAAAGCCATTTAAACGACACCAACAACAATGGTTATCCAGTGAAGAATTTCACGAATAAATTAGAATTAATTCAAAGCCTTAAAACTGAAATCTCTCGTTTAAAACAAGCAAATTTACATTTAGCTATAGAAATTGATCACCTTGACTATGAATCAAAAACCCTACACTATCATTTAAACAATCAAGGTGAAAAGAATCATCATTTAATTAAAGAGAATATGGAGTATATTTTACGCGTGACAGAAAATCAAAGTTTACAACAAACTGTCAGCAAAATGAAACAACAATTAAATGAATTATTGCATAGAATTAATACTTTACGCTATGAAAGACGTGAATTCCGTGCAGAATGTGTACGCAGTGAATACGAAACTCGTCAACTGGTTGATGAAATTTCTCGACTAGAATTAAGTCGTAATAAAAATCTTGAACAACTGGAATATTTACGTGGTAAAATAGAACAAATGGAAGTATTTCATGAAGATATGATAAAACATAAACACTGGATTAAAACATGGCAAGAGATATCAGGTATCATGAAAGTGATTGTACGAATTAAGTCGTCAATGGGAGAATATCAAACCGCTGATTCATTCTCGAAATTCCCTGTTGAAACTGGTTGCCTGGTGATTACTAATCATGATAAACTAAATATTTATGCAAATCGCAGGCATAAAGCCTCATCAACTGAAATGTGTACATTTGAATTTAATAAGATTCTTCTACCGAATACATCTCAGTGTGAAGTATACTTTACTGTGTCAAGTCAAATTCATCGTCTATTAGATGGATATAATGTGACGCTATTATGCTATGGAGTTTGTGCTAGCGGTAAAACGCATACATGCTGTGGTACACCTAATGATCCTGGAATAGCTTCATTAGCTGTGAGTGAATTAATCACATTGGCCAAAAATAGAAGTATGCACAATATACGTATTTATGCCTCATTTATAGAAATCTATAATGAACACACTTATTGTATGCTATCGAAACAACCAATCAACTTAAAAGATACTGGTGATATAATTCACATAGAAGGACAAATTGAACAATACATTAAAAGTGCGCATGATTTTAATACACTATTATTTCAAATCATTTCAGAACGAAAGAAATCACTGATACAATCATCAAATTATTATAGTTCACGATCACATTTTTTTATATTTATCAAACTTGTCTTAGAGAAATGCGAAAATCAAATAACTTCAGAATATTTAAGTACTTTAATTATAGGTGATTTAGCAAACTATACACTTGCAAATCGTAAAATTCCCTCCTCTGGCAATAATAATTACAACAATAATACTTTAATTAAACAAGAAAATTATCATATTCAAAAATCAGTTGTAATGTTAACAAATATTTTACATGGATTACGTAAACAAAATGCATTCAGCGTGTACCGTGGTTCAAAATTAACAGAGTTATTAAAGCCTTGTTTTAATGGTGATTCATATTTGACCTTGATTTTAAATATCACTGATAATCCATCTGAGGCATACTTTACAAATGCTATTTTAGAAGTTGGTAAATCACTAATGTGTGCTAATTTAAGCCGACCAATAAAGCATAATAAAGCTATTTAAAGTTTTAAAAATAAAGTGGTTTGATTATCGCACCATAAATGATGTCATTGATGAGAAATATTCATTTTGTAAATAATATTAGTAATCTGGTGAGGAATTTGTATATTTGTACTTTAAGAAAAACATACATACACACACACACACTTGAAATCTCGAAGGTTGAAACGAATGAATTATAAATATATGTGAATTACTCTATTTCAAATAAAACTGAGAACATTTTAAATTACATTTTGACTACTGAAAAATGTTGTAAGTAGTCTCGTTATGTTCACAAAAGTTTCTCATAAGGAATAAAAAAATTGTTAATTTGATGTGAACAGAGAGTAATAATTTGTTTTCTTATTATTATTACTAATATTAGAATTCATCCCTTTCATTATAATTGGAGCATAGGGCTGCTAAATTTATACTAAACATACCTATTTGTCATAGGTGAACTCTAATCATATTTGTAAAGAGAAAGAATAAGCTGAATGGCGTCACAGCGATCTAGTGCACTTATGATCATTACATTGACTCATTCACAGTAGATTGTCACTTCATGTTGTTGTGAATTTTGAGAAGCTGTGCCTTCCGGGAATAGAACTCAGAACGCCTGAGTGGCAGATGAACACTCTACCACTGAAACACCTACAGAAAACTTCAATCCAACCGCAAATCATGAGCTCGCCTAATTGTATAAAAAGATTGAAGTACGTTGCTGCATTACAGTTCTTATCACAATTTCACAGATCACTAACCACTCACCATATATACATCACTGGACTGATTTTATATTAACTGGTCTCTAGTGAACATGCACAGGGAGAAGTCCCTAATGATCTTTACAGAGTCCTACACGTCTACCATGGCTGAAAAAATCAAGTATTAATCTGGACTGCCATCATGTCGCCTGTTACACTGATCAGTTTGAAGGCGATATTTCTATTTCTCTTTTTATCATGATGATGTTATTGGTTTCGTGATTTTAAAGTTGTTGGTTTAGTGATTACTGTTGAAAGCTGACTTTTATTATTTGCACGGAAATAAGTGGACATATTTATGTCATCTTACGTTTCTTCAGTTTTATTGTGTGGTTATATGTTGGATTTCCTGACGGGTGATTCAGGATGTTACTTAATGTCTAACCATGTGATTGCGAATTTTCGAAAAATGGGCAATGTGTTCTAGTTATTCGCTTTTGTACATGTGGATTCTGCTGAGATTTAAGGACTAGTTGACAGTTGTCTCTCTCTTAGAATTTCATCGCCGTAGCTAATGTACAGATTCCAATGTCCTCCACAGCCCTCAGCATGAAAAATAAGATACGGATTTTCAACTCCAATGTGAAGTCAGTGCTACTTTACGGATCAGAGACTTGGCGTAGCGTCACGAAGGCCACTTCGTGCAAACTACAGACTTTCATCAACAGCTGCCTTCTCTGGCTCCATACTGAAGATTAGATGGCCGGTCAGAAAAGATCATCATCAGGGATCTCTAGGAGTGAACCATTCAGGAACTGATTGTGCAACAAATATGCAGGAAGAAATGGAGATGGATTGGCCATACTCTGAGAAAACTATCACGAGAGTGACATCACACGCAAGGCCGTCGCTCGAGTGGAAAGCCAAACGGGAAGAGGCGAGTTGGTCGTCATGGGTGAGGGTGACATGGAGGAGGTCATGTGAAGAGGTGATGAAAGCATGTGGGCAGACGTGGAACCAGGTGAAAACGTTGCCAGGGAAAGGAACGCAATGAAGACGTGCGAGTGAGGCCCTATGTTCCTCTAGGATTTGAAGGAAACATGTACCACTTCACTTTGACCAGCTTTGGAAACGAAAAAATTCCAAGGATAATGTGTATAAAGTAGTTTAATGTTGACTTTCAACAATTATTTGCACATATCTTCCCAGCCAGTATATAATTCTACATCAGTTTATCACATTCACTTAGTTATATAAGCATATACACTTATAATTTACTCAGAAATTATTGTCTCGATTGTTATCTGTGTCTGTTTATTTCACCATCTCTCAACCCTCCCCCTCTCTACCACGCTCCATCGACATAGACAAGACTCCATCTTCTATCTCCCAAAAGTAATGATTCTATTTAACGTTTAATTAGGACTAAGTTCATTATCTGAATAAAGACAAATCATCTATGGAATATAATTACAATCCTAATAAACAAATACCTCCTTTTATAAATTTTGAACAGAGAAGTAAGAAAGACAATACTTGTACTTCGTTGGTTCTTGTCAGTTGCGTACCCCTTGAAACAAGTTATAGTACAACTTTTTTGTATTTTTGTATTCAAGCGTTGGTTTGTAGGGATTTGATTGGTCTCAGGATTTCATCATGAGCTGACATTAGTTAGAGAACCATTGGAAAACCTGGGAGTACTGGACAGCTGTTTCGTCCTGGTTTGGGACTTTTCAGCAGTACGCACCCACCGACCAGTACTCCCAGTTTTTCCAATGGTTCTCTAACTAATGTCGGCTCATGATGAAATCCTTAAATATTTTGATTGGACACTTGTAACTAGTGTGACGTGTCTAGTCCTTTCTTTGGTACAGACTGAATTCTATCAGTCAGGTTTGCAATTATCGATTAAGGACGTAGTAGCAACAAAATAGATAGGAAGTTCGGATGTATAAAAAGCAAACAAACAAACAAATCTAGTAATACAGACAGAAAACCTACCTGGACAGGACAGTATCTTAATTATCACAGTTTCTACCCTGTTCGGTATAAAAAGCCTTAATAAGGTAGGTACCTCTTCAGTAGAATGTGACGAATATGCCCTGAAGACACACTTAATGTTTTATTGAATGTCATAGGCTGTATGTAGCTAGGGAGAACCGATGAAATACAATGGATCCGTGTTATTTTAAACCAATGTTGTTCTTTCTGTGTTCTAACTGAAATCTTTCGTTCACATTAGGCTAAACATTGCTCATATATGAAGCTTTTATTGTGGACATTTCTAGCTTAGGAGGGTGGAGGTAGCGGATATTTTCCTCGGACTGTTATATCCTTCAAGCCAGATGGTTTAATTACAAAGATTTCATTGTCTTTCTGAGACAACGTCTTTAAGCGCTAACCGTACAAACAATCAGTCACAGTGAAGTTGACCAGAAGACACAAATATTTCAGCCATCAACTAACTGTATAACTATTAGTGTTATTTTATAAAATAATACTAGTAGTTATACAGTTCATTTCCGGATTGAAAATGTTTAATTTGTTTTCTATGAAATGGATGGTTTATTTATGATGTGCAAAGTGACAGCAGTGAGCAAGAAACACTGATCATTGAAATATTCACTGTGAATGATTTTGGGCTCATACCATCATCTAGTTCAAGGAGCCATCAAGGTGAAGCTAAAATCCTTCAGAATAGATGGAGATAGACCACTATAATTCAAGTTCAGAAACCGAAGGACAAAACTACAAGCGATGCCTTCACTACAGGTCAGGTCAGAGCAAAGTCGGATACACTACTTGTTATCGTCGAGGAAACTTGTGTGGAAAAACATTGGAACTAACTCTCTGAAGGTGATGATCAGGGAAACGTGTGCAACTGTTCAAAAAAGAAAGAAGAGACACGACAAGGAATGGCTGTCAACGGACACCCATGTGGGAGCTTATAGCAGAAAGGAGAGGAGGATGGTGAAAGAGGAAGTAACTCAATGCAAAGATGGACAGAAGAAGAGAATGAGGAACTGAGTTCAGTGTACACTGCACGTGAAGAAGAGTACTAGGAAAGAAAAAGACGATTCTACGTCACACTGGCCAGCAACTGAAGCAAAACAGGCAGGTAAAAGAGACCTCAGAACATCATATTAAATAGCCGGATCTCTATCTTTGTAATAATCAACCAAGATGATGAAACCAATAAAAGATGTTCAAGTGAACCTCATTATCAAGGAGGAGAAACAAATCAAACAATGGGCTGATCACTTTAGAGGACTCTTGATTCCGCCACCACCTGCAACTCTCCCAGTAATACCACCACCGCCAACAGCACGCACAGAACGGCGTGCCAGTGGACACCAATCTTCCAACAAAAGCAGGAATCCTGAATATGACCAAGCTACTAAAAGACAGCCAGGAAAGCAGCTGGACCAGACGGAATTCCTCCCAACCCTAAGGACTGAAAACTGCAGATAGATATGCTGACGCCGTTATTGCAAAAGGTTTGGGAGGAAGGAAAGCTATTTGCTGATTTGCAAAAAGGCTAACTTGTCAAGCTAACAAAGAAGGTTGACTTGGGCCTCTGCAAGAACTGGCGTGGAATAATGCTTTCGTCCATGCCAAGTAAAATACTGAGTCGCACCATCCTGGGGAGAATAAGAGACGCACTGGATGCAGAACTCCGCTAGCCGGAATAAGCTGGATTTAGAAAAAGCAAACCACTTGCTGATCAAGTTGCAACTCTATGCATCGTTACCGAAAAAAGTATAGAATGACAGAGAAAAATAAATTTATGTGATTAGGTACATAATTGTTGAAAGTGAATAGGTGGTTCGCTCAAATCATTGGGTTATCTAATTCATCGTAGAACATGAGACATTATTTCCACTCAACTTCTACATTGTTTTAACCATCTAATTCCCTCCTTGAAAAAAAATGTGTAGTTACGGGTATTTTCCGAATGATTTTCAATATACATACTACTCTCTATATTTTGAAAGGACAAAATCCCTATGGTAGTTGAGCATGTTCCAGACTGACGAACACTTAGTAGAATGACTTGCTAAGACTACTATTTTACTCGAAGATTCTGTATAGGAAGTAAGTTCTGTAATGTACATAATGAAGGTAGAACTATTATTATCATTATCATTATAAATTATCACCTCAAAATCGATCACGAACCAACTTCTGTCAAGGAAGCGCTATTGAAAGTCAAGGAGCACTGGAGGGCTGTTCTGTCCTTTTTTTATCATTCCAGCGACCGAACCCAGGACCTAAAGGTTCCAACTAGAGTATGTTGGCCGCTGAGTCATCATCGGAACAGAATCCAATGTCCTACCAATTCTAACTTCTGCCAATTCGCGATATATACAGCACGACCGCCAGCCAATGTTATCTCAACAGGGTATTTGTCTTCACACCCAACTCGGCGGATACCTCACTACAACCTTAGACAACTTCATCTTGTAGTCAAACACTAGATTAATTTTCAACAAAAAACACACTCACGAACAGGGACTTCCGTTGCGCCCTATTTTAGACATGTCCGGATCTCTATAGCATCCAGCTGCAAAATGGCTGGC